ATTTCCTTGATAGTGACAAGGGACATCCCATATTTTGGGCCAAACATTCTCTGTGCAGTGGTAAATTCTGAATGCTGGCACTTATCATGGACGCTCCTTTAGCTATTGCCCCCAATCTGAAAAAGCAGACTGTTGTGTGGATGCATATGTGAATAAGTGCATGCATTTACATAGTACTTGCAGCAATACACAGTTACTAGGAAAATACACTTTCCAGCACCTACTTTTGAGGATTGCACCCAAGCCTTGAGGGAACAAGGAAGCCTGAGTGGGTGGCAGCTAATGTCCTAATGGTAATAATGGGCCGTCAAGTCAACTCTGACTTACAGCAACCCTTTTTCAGGGTTTTCCATTTAAAGAAGTGGGTTACATTTCCCTTCTTCTGGGGGGGGGGGGCTTGGGACTGTGCAGATTGCCCAAGACCACACAGGCTGAGTCTACTTACAGAAGCCACAATGGGGAATCAAACTCCCAACCTCTGCAGCCAGATATCTAAACCATGGAGATATCCAGCCAGCTGCTAATGTCATTACTTCTGTGTAGAGGAGAACCTATACCTTGGGCTCATGGAACCAGTCCCACTGTTTGTGGAACCTGGCCAAAATACTTTGAGCAACAAAAGTCAAATGGAAGAACACCTAGTTGTTCTCTTCCACCTCATATTGGGTGCATGTTTCAACATTCTAACCCAAATCGAGATGTTCATGTACATCCACAGTCTTAGCACATCCTTACTCAGCCGGAGCACCCTCTTCATTGTATTTCTTCTCTGATGTTCCTGAAATCAGAATGGTCAGATGCTCAGTAGCCTAACCTGTTATAAACAGGCATTCATTGCATTTTAAAGTATTCTGGCAGATCAGTTTTGGGTTCTCACACTGCACTTGTTTCATGGTGGTTTCGAATAATTGGATGCTGCTGATTGGCCCCAGCTGGAGACAAAAAGTTGAGCTAAAAGTATGTCAAATACATTCTGTAACAGATAATAACCTCTTGAGGATCACACCATTTTAGAATAACGGTAAGCAAGTTATCTGGCTACCATTCAGCTCGGCTCAGCTGTTACAGAAAATCTGTTTTCCTTGGCTTCATACCCAGCTAAACCTTGATGAATCAGTCTCAGGTGATTTTCCATTGTAGCATTTGTTACCAGCAGGTACAAAAGACGTGCTCATAAAAATACTCCTGTGAATTTCCAGTGAGGTTATCCCCAAGGATAAGTACTCTTGGAAACAAGGCCACACCCCATGTCTTTTCATTCACTTTCATGACATGATCTTACTTAGACTGATTCACAGGCCTGTTCATTCATGTCCCATTGTTTATGTCAGCGAAAACTTAATGGAACAGAGATATTTCAACATACTTTGGAGCTGACGCTGCTTTTCGGAGAATCAGGGCTCCTTGAAACCTACGCAAAAGGTCTCCCTTCCTTCTCTCCATGATTTAGATGCATGGCCTGCTATTCCAGAAAGCGTGTCGAGCCACCAACACGACGTTTTACATTATATGCAACTGTCACTGAGAAACAGGGCAACTGTCTTTCAAGAAAGATTTCTAGTTCTGGTGACTAAACCTGATAACAATGGCACAATAGATTTATGTATCAAGAGCATGCATCAGAAGGGCAAAACCTAATTATTTAACAGAAGAGGAGTGTGTAGGGGTTGGAAAGAAAACCTGTCTTCTGTTAACGTTATTGTAGTTCTTGCGAGCACTGAATGAAGTGGCCTTTGAAATACCCTTTTTGTGAGGTAATTTTCAGTCAGGAGAGGATTTTCAAATTGGGATTTGGCCATTAAAAATAAAATGGCATCTCTTTATGGATTCTCGTCTCTCTTTCCTCACATTGTCTTCCCTGCCACACACAGTTCCCACTTGGATGAACTATCAGAAGTGCTTGATATATGACATCTTCCCTCCACAGATGCACAGAAAACAAGCAAATTGTCCCTTGTACAAGCAAAACATGTTCAAAATCTTCAGTCCCCATGGAATAATGTACTGCATCTGGATTTCTTGCTTTGTTCTAAAAGTTTTGGGTATTTCCTCAAAGTGCATTTTTTCAAAGCAGGGTGGAAACATAATTGAAATTCCTCCTAGTCAGCACTTTAAAGGATGGTTGATCATGCTAATCACCTGCACAGGTAAGTTTATCAGCAATGTTTTCTAGTTTTTTTTAAAAATCTATCCTTTGTTAAAAGGCAATGACTAAAATATTCTTCTGAATTTCCAGCAGTTCTCAAAGGGATGTGGCGGAATATTGGTTTGGCTTGGCTACTGGAATGCAGGCACCTGCGCTGATGAAAATAAGTGCCATCCTCCAGATGTATAAGATCATAACTTTTCTGTACAACTGAGACCATCAGTAATATGCTGATGAATATACATGGACATGGATTCCAAACATGTTCAGATTTTTTTTTCCTGCTTGAAAAAAATATGTATTTTTGTGTCAGGCTTTAGACATAAAATTGTAACAAAAAGTGTATTTTTCCTGAGTAGAATGGGGAGCAGGGAAGCTCATGTTTTTACCGGGGGGAAAATCTATTTGAAATATGACACCAATAGTATCGGTGCACCAGCGATTGTCCTAAAATGTTTTCATGGCAGTTGCTGATTCTGGATGAACTCAGATGTTAATTAGGTTAGGGGTTAGATTAATGCGTCAGCTGATACAAAGTATGCAAGATATAATTGTGTAACATAAACACCATACATAGCAGCCACTCACCAGGCTGCAGATGGAGCTATTCCACCATCTTCTTGAAAGGGTTTGTTCCCCCCCCACCTCCCATATTGTGACCTCGCTGCCAGCCATTCCATCAGACTACCTGATTTGTCTGCAGACCAGCTTGTCAGTGTAAGAATGCTGGCTTTTAAGAACCTGAGCCCTGTGCTTGCCTTCCTTCCTCTCATCTCCCCATCACTTGCATGTCATCTATTCCAGTCCAGGTTGAGGATGTGTCATGACATGGAGATGGTGACCTTCTGAGGGAGTCTGACAGGGGCAAGATGTCCTCCTCAATCTCTCAGTGGCTTTTGATACTATCCATCACGGTATCCTCCTAGGAAGGCTCTCTGGGCTGGGGATTGGTGGCCTGGTTCAGTGCTGGTTCCAGTCTTTCCTAGAAGACCGTCCACCCCTTGGACTCTTAACTGTGGAGGCCCACAGGGGTTGATCACCTCCTCATTGCTGTTTAATATCTATACAAGGGCCCTAGGGGAGATCATCAGCTTTGGAGTTTTGTGCCACCAATATGTGGATGACACCCAGCTTTCTCTCTCTCTCTCCCTTCTTTCTTCCCTTGGGCACTGCCTGGATGCCATACTGGGGTGGATGAGGGATAACAGACTGAGGCTGAACCCAGACAAGACAGAGAACCTGCAAGTGGGCACCCCTAGTATCTGCAGATCGAGGTCCTCCCTCTCATTGCGTGAGGCTAGTCTCTCTCTGCAAGGATGAGGTCTGCTGTCTGGGCGTGTGTTCGGACACAGCACTGTCAGTGGTGTCCCAGGCAGTGTATGCGGTCCGTACAGTCTTTGTCCACTTGAGGTGTCCCTACCTTGACACTGGATCCTTCACCACACTGGTCCACGCGCTGGTAGTCGCAAGATTAGACTACTGTTATGCTCTTTACGTGGGGCTTCCCATGAGACTGCTATGGAACTTCCAGCAGGTCCAGATATGGCGGCCATATTGTCGAGTGAAGAAATACAACGTATCTTCCCCACACTGGCCGCCTGTTCATTTCCGTGGCAGCTTCAAGGTGATGACTTTTGACCTACAAAGCCAAAACAGTCTGGGACCTCAACCCCTGACAGAATACCCTTCTTCTGGCGAGATCTTCCCAACCTACTCCATCTTCCCAGGTGGGGCGGTTAAGATTACAGACCCTGAGAGAAGCCCAGAAAGAGAAGACTAGAAACTGGGCCTTCTCGACAGTTGCCCCCTATTTGTGGAAAAGCTTCCTGCCCGAAATCCACCTGACCCCTTTTACAGGGAACGTTTAAATGATCCTAAAGACATGGCTTTTCAGATTACATCATGATGGCACAGTGGCAGTTTTCACCACTTTTTTCTGCTCCCCCATCTTGCCTTTTAAATTAGTGGTATCAGTGCCCATGTTGTTCTGGTATTTGTATAATTTTGATTTCTGTATAACCATAATGCTCTATATTTCTAAAATGTTATTGTTTTACTGTCTTTTAAAGCACCCCAGAATGGCCTTGTAGCCAGGTGGGCGCTATAGAAGTTGAGTAAATAAATAATAAATGTCATATCTGGTAGCTTATAAGCATGAGATCTGAAGCTATCTCTGGCCTTTGTAGACCTCTATGGGAGCCTTTTTGACATAATATTTATGGACATTCGCCTTCTCCCCATATTTGCATAAAAGGCTGTCTACTGCCAATAAAAAAAGTGTGACCAATTAAAACGTAAAGTCTTTAAGATGCTATATGACTCCTTGTTGGTTAAACTGTGACAGACTAATGAGGCTACCCTTGGATAAAATATACTTTCATCCTTAGTCATACGAACACTTAAAACTAGTAAAGGTTTTCTTTTCCTACAAATGTTTTGATAGACATAAGTCTGCTATCTCATGATCAGAATGGTACTTTTAAGCCAGTGGTTCTTAACCTTTGTTACTCAGGTGTTTTTGAACTGCAATTCCCAGAAACCTCAGCCAGCAGAGCTGATGGTGAAGGCTTCTGTGAGTTGCAGTCCAAAAACATCTGAGTAACAAAGGTTAAGAACCAGTGTTTTAAGCTACCTGTTCTTGTGCCCACAGTAATTTCTCATGATCTCTTGCCATCTTTACCGAACCAGCTCCAGTTAACTCACCATAAGCCATAACATTTACTTACCATCTTCTTTGCAAAATGAAAATCCTTCCCATTTATGTAGACATTTCTTTCAACTGCTTATAGTGCCAAAAGTATATGTTCTGATGCCTGATGTTTTGTGCATTTCAAAGGTTTAAAAAGCCAGGGAATAAGGGAACTTACTTTATTTCTTTAAATATTAGTATCACTGCACAACACACTTCAGTGGTATATAGGCAACAAAAAAAATGGGTGTGCACCTTCAGACATACCATATTATAAATACCCAAATGATTTGCGCAAGATTATATTTTCATAATACAAGCATTAAAAATGAATCCAAATTAAGCTTCCCAAATCCTCTCATATCCACATCTTCCTCACTTAAGCTACCTTATTAGAGCCTAATAAAATATTTTTTTTCTGGAAAATTTAGATTTCCAACAGTGCCAAGGAGAATAAAGGCCATATCACTTAGTGGCACAGAAGAGGAGGAGGAAAAAAGACACACCAGAGACCAAAGCAGCTGAAAACCTCAATTTACAGATTAAGCAGCAAGAAGGCAACTTACACTAACCAGGCTAGGAAAAAGTTAAGAGCAATGGAAGGCTCTGACTTAGCATTTAGTTAACAGAAGCTACGCACCATGCAAGTTAAACATGTATATGGAAGGGGAATGAAGTCATCCTGCTATATCCTTAGTTTTCCAGGTGTGTACATGCCCTTGCCTCCAATTTAGCCCAAGTAAAGCCAACACACGACTAATATAAAAATAAGTGTTCTTGATCCAAGCAAGGAAGATAAGGCTATAACTCCTTCTGGCTAGACAAGATTTCTCCTGATCCAGGTACCGTCAAACATTAGCAAAGGGAAGGAGTTGAAATATAGCAGGCCAGATATGATGCCAAAATTCCTATGCTCTTTACCATGCAGAACAAGTATATCTTAATGTTGGTCAATTTTCATATACTCTTACCAAGTACAGCTATTACTATTTGCTTTTCTGGAGTTTTAGGTTTCACAATGAACTCCAAAGGATCCATTAGCTCACATTAGTAACAGAATAATCATGATGCAAAGTAAATAAACAATGACACATGTATGCAATCAGGGGTCAACCACAATTTTCTCAACAAGGATAATAAACGCCAGTCCAGTTTGCTAAGTAGTCATTAAAGCCTAAACCTAGCTCTCAGGGGAAAATTTAAATGATAAATATATTAATGTTCAATTTAGGTTACTTGATAATGTCAGAATAATCTGCTGTCAGAATTGTCATTCAAAGACTAGAGACATGTTTTACAATTCCATGAGATTCTAGAAGAAGCATACATGATTACAGTAGCTTAAAGAAGAGGTCATAAGGTTCTACAACATTACATTTCCTGAACTTCAAAAATATATATAAACACATTTCTAGCCGGCATCCGTTGTTTGATGGAAGGAACATTCTGATCCTAAATATGCTACTCAGAAATCAGATGCACTAGTTTCAATGAAAACAATGTCTTATGGAGTGGGTTTCTGACCGTGTCTTACAGGAAGAGAAGCATATCTATGGTGCTCAAGCATAATAGTGCAAGTTTAGTGTAATTCAACAAGAGGCATCATCTCCCTTGCTAACTGCAAACAGGCATAATGATAGATATGCACCAGGAATTGAGTAGTGTCAAATGGTACAACAGCGAAGGGCTAGTGTTTGAGGGCATGAGAGTCCATTTTAATATGGTGCCTTGGCCGACTTCTTCTTCTTCTGCTCCTCCCTCAGCTTCTGCTTCTTCCTCTTGCTGACTTCTTTGTGTCCTGAGGAGACATGGCTTGTAAAACATTGTTCATATAGCAGACTTCCTTTGATTAAAGCAGAAGCATCCCCATCCATTTAGCGTGAGATATGTTTTCCCTGAGGAGGCATAAGCAAATTGCCTAGAAAAATGGGAATTTTCTCCCTGGTCACTCATTCACTATTTCCCTAATTTCTGGTGTCACATTTTGGGGTACCCCCCCCCACGTCTGCTACTTCCATAAGGTAACAAAGTTATTGTGGCCTCAAATGTAAAAGCCTTCCATCTTCCCTGTGAGTTCCCACATCATCAAAGATTCTCCTGGCACAGAAATTCTACCAACCACTTTGAGAGTCCATACTGTGATCACGTATAATGGCTAAGTCAAGAAGATTATTTTTGTCATACAGCTTTGACTGGAGAATGAGACATGTCATCCACACCTAAATCAGTGCAATATTTATGGAGCTACATGAAGTTTGCACACTTTCCAGTATTTCCAGAATGAAATAGAGAGGTTACCTACCTTTAACCATAGTTCTTCTAGTGGTCCTCTGTGAATCCACATAATTTGGGTTGCTCAGTGTCTGTGCTGAACCTCTTGGAAATTTCTAGAGCTTAAAGATACATGATTATTGGGACTTCCCCCATGGAGCGAATGCTCTGCCCACCACTGATCCCCTCAATTCCTGAAAAAAATCCGCCACTGTGAAAGAACTATATAAAAGTATAATGTGACGGACAGAGGGGAGAGATGTGTGGATTTACAGAGGACCACTAGAAGAACTATGGTTACAGGTAGGTAACCTCTCTTTCTTCTTCGTGGCCTCTGTGAATGTACACAATTGGATGATTGGCAAGCTAACTTACTGGATGGTGGGACATCATGATAGAAAGGATGCCAAGACAGCTCTTCCAAAACCAGCATCATTCCGTGCCCTGACATCGAGATGGTAGTGCCTGACAAAGGTCGATGGAGTAGACGATGTCACTGCATGGCAGGTGTGCGGGAGTTCAGTCTCACGCTGGAAGGCAGTAGATGTTGACGGCGCTCTGGTAGAATGGGCCGTTAAATGTTCAGGAGGTGTTTTGCCAGTTAGCTCATATGCCAATGAGATAGTCTGGGCAATCCATCTAGAAATAGACTGCGGCGAAGCTGGAGCCCCTTTATGAGGACTGTGAAAACACAGAAAGACTCTCTGTGATTTTCTGAATGATTTGGTCCTGTCAATGTAAAAGGCAAAAGAGTATCTAACGTCAAGTGAATGGAGCATGCGCTTGAGAAGTGGTGACGGAGATGGAAATAGGGTAGGTAGAATCATTGGTTGATTGAGGTGAAATTCAGATACAACTTTAGGTAAGAAGGACACATCAAAATACAGAGTGACCTTATCCGGATGGAACTGAAGGAAGGGTGGATCGGATCGGAGGGCTGCACATTCGCTAGCCTGCTTAGCAGATGTTATTGCCACAAGGAAAGATGTTTTCAAGGAAAATAGTTTAAGAGCACAGGTAGCCATCAGTTCAAAGGGTGGTCGAGTAAGTACACTGAGGACAAGTTGTAAAGACCACTGAGGGATAGGATCTTGGCATGGGGGGCGAATATTGTTGAGTCCCTTGAGAAATTCTTTCACAGTTGGATGAGAAAAAATTTGGCCGATTCAGAATGAGGAGGCTGATAAGCTATAATAGCAGACATATAAACTTTCAAGGTGGAATGAGATAGTCCAAAATTGAAGAGATAAAGGACAAAGGTAAGTAAAGTCTTCAAAGAGACTGGTGTTACAGAGAATCAGTAAAGGAAAGAAAATGCTTTCCATTTGTTTTGATATAGAAGCTGGGTTGAGGGCTTTCAAGCTCGATCAAGTACATCCTTTATGGCGGGAATATCCTCCACACTGTCAGGTTAAGGGAGGGTATGTCTGGATGGTGAATCATCCCCTTGTCTTGAGTGAGAAGGTTGGGGATTGGTGGAAGCTGGAACGAGTCAGTTGACATTGACTTCAGGTGGGTGAACCATGGTTGTTGCAGCCACCATGGAGAGAGGAGGATTGCATTTGAAACTGTCAAAGTTGAATGATGGTTCTTTGTATAAGCAGTACTGGAGGAAATAGAGTAGATCCTTGTCCCAGTCTATCATGAAGGTGTCTCCAATCGAGTTCCTGTCGATTCCGGTTCAAGAACAGCAATGTTGCCACTTGGTATTTGTTCAGGAAGCAAAGATGTCGATGGAAGGGGTGCCCCAATGGTCTCAGAGGAGATCGAAGGTATCATTTAGGGGCCATTTGTGTGTTCTCGAGGTGAGGCGACTGACATAGTTTGCGAGGAAGTTTTTGTGTGTGGCTGTGGATTGCTACTGGGAAGATGTGATGTAGGTAACACCATTCCCAGAGCTCGAACATCAGGTACAGTAGGGATAAAGAATGTGTGCCTCCTTGTTTGTTTAGTAAAGGGCTGTTGTATTCTCCGTAGCGAGTTGGACTGCATGTCCCGCAATAAGTGGTAGGAAAGATTGGAAAGCCTTGATAATTGCTAAGAGTTCGACATGATCGATGTGTAATGTTTTCGCTTGATTTGTCCATAGGCCATGGATTCTGTGATGCCAGCAATGTGCTCCCCATCCTGACAGGCTGCGTTGGTAGTAACCTGTATCATTAATTGGAGAGGCAAGAAGGGTTTCCTGACGAGCAAATGCGGTAGAAATGTCCACCTGGTGAGTTGACGTGCAAGCTCGGATGTTACTATAAGACACATGGACGGTGGTCCATCATGGGATCGAATAGTGACAGGTACCGTGATTGAAGTGACGTCATCTTGAGCTGTGTGTGCTGTATAACTGCGGTTGTCGAGGCCATGAGGTGGGTTAGTTTCAAATTCAATGAAGTAACGTTTTTTAATGATGGAAAGGACCCATTGGTCATTAGTTATACATTGCCAAGCATTATGGAAGAGACACAATCTTGTTTGCAACAGGGTTGAAGAATTGAAAGTAGGTGAAGGGAGTCTATGGGTATTACCCTTCTTTTGAGGGCTCCGAAAGGATTGGTGGTGTGGTTGTTGTTGCTGGGTTCGAAAGGAAGATGGAGCCGAGGTTGAAGGGTCCTTGAAAGGGCCTGTCCGATGTTTGAGGTTTGTATGGTCTGTATGGCTGTTGAAATTCTTGGTATGGTTGTTGGTAAAAAGGTTGTCTCTGATATTGAGGTCTGTGATATCTGTACGTCTGCTGGGCAGAGTAGGATCGAACAGGTTTACAGACCTTATGGAAGTTGTCCATCACCTCGTCCATTTTTTCACTGAAAAATCCAGCCCCGTCAAAAGGTAGATCCTCTATCCTAGATCTAGTATCATGCGATATCCCAGCAGATCTAAGCCATGCATGACGGCAGAGTGCGATAGAGGTGGCCATAGCTTTAGAGGCAGCATTAGTGGTATAGCGAGATGCAATCCTCTGTTGTTTGACGAGTGTGGAAGCCTCGGCATGGATGTTAAGGGCTTCTGTCTTAGCCGATTCTGGGGCCACTTCAACTACTGGGAGAATCTTATTCCATAGTTGCCTATGGTAAGCTCCCATTATGGCTTGATAATTGGCAACTCGCATAAAAATGAGATCAGGGGATAGAGCCTCCTGCCGAGTATATCTAATTTTCTACCTTCTTTATTTGTAGGTGCAATTGAGGATTTATTTCGGGCTCTTGACTGGTTTGACTCTAGTATTATGGAGTTCGGTGTTGGATGTTTGGTGAGAAAAATAGTTTCCGTACTGTGGGCCTTATGATTTTCGACATGTCTGGAAATTTGTAAGGAAGAGGGAAGTTTGAGGGAGGTTTTAGCGCTGGTTTAGTTAGCCTTTTACACTCAGAGCAGGAGTGTGTCGGGTGTTGTTCTCCAAGACAGGAAAGGCAACGGTCGTGGCCTTCGGTGAGTGGGATTTTATTGAGCAGAGAATGCACTGGTTGAAAGGCCCAGGGGTCCTCCATAAAAGAGTGGGAAAAAAGGGAGGGGAAAAGAACTGTCGTGAGGGGGAGGGGGACAGGATCGGCAAATGCGGACAGAGAAAAAACTGGAATAAACTCACAGGGGAAATGTCCAATAAAGAAAGATGATTGAAAAGGATTTTGAAGAAAATAAACAATTCAAAGGAAAGTATTAATTCAATAGATCACTCTAGTTCTCCGAAACAAGTCTAGCCAACATGGCAGAAAAAAAGGAACTGACGGGATCAGTGGTGGGCGGAGCATGAGATTCACGGGGGGAATGGCCCACTAATCATGTGTCTTTAAGCTCTAGAAACTTCCGAGAGATTCAGCGCAGGCGCAGAATAACCCAATTCTGTGAATTTACAGAGGCCACGAAGAAGAATCTGCTTCCATTACTTTGTCCTATACTACCTACTGCTCTATACTCCGCCCCATGGCATGACTGCAAACTAAGAATGGAGGTCTGGAAAACTCAATTTAAATTAGCCCTGTATGGTTAATTTTAGTTTATTGCTAACACCAGTTTTATTATAGCTCCTTTATAGCCATTATTTCCTTTTCTATCTCTTTCCCTTTCTCCATTTCTCCTGGCATGTCTCTGAAGTTTTGAAAATGTTAACAAAATAGCCAAAGGACCTCAAAGCCTTTTGGGATTATCTCATTTTCTGATGAAAATATGCATGAAGTTAAAATAGATGTGCAAATGTGAAATTGATGGAGGAGTATGTGTATATATAAGACAGTTACACAGCAATGACAGTTATATACTACATTCTAAATACTAGGTATATCATCTTTGAAGCAGCTAAGACCTCAAATAATATGTGCCCAAAGCCAACTGGGTGTCAAACTAACCCCTATGAGGAGTCTTATGCTATAAGCAAGTCGTAGCATAGTTTAAGTCATGCCACAATGCAGCTCCTCGTTTTGGCAGACCAAAAGTAAAACCTAGTAAGCTTTCAGGGAAGTGACCCTACACGGAACCTCTGTTCTGCATAGGCCATGCAACTCATTAGTAACTCACCCCTTAATACATGCCACCTTGCACTGTGCACTCTTATTATCAAGGGTGGGACCACCCATTGTTATTTAATCAATAATTCAATTTGTGGTATTCTAAAAATGGGGAAACTGCTCAAATCATCTATGCACCATTCATGGCCTTCAGCTCCATCCATCCATCAACAAATTTGTAAGGCAACAAAATAAGCACAAATTGGGGATTACCCATCATCGTTACAGTTGTCACTAAAACAGGATATGTGGCATCCTTAAAAAGTAGCACAAACTGAAGGACAGGGCAAGACTCTAAGTGAATCAGAAGGCTACACTGGCAGGATTCCAGATTCTTTGTAGGTGAGTGACTGAACTGTTAATGGGAAAAGATGACAATGTAGCCCAGTAGCTCCTCTTCCACACACAGAAGATTGGAATTGACCCCTGGACTTCATATGGGAGACAGAACTTCATAAATGTCTTATGTTAGTGAAGGAACAGGGGCCCACTCAGCAAATAGGCCTGGAGTTCTGTAACACACGTTACACCACCTCTGAAATTGCCTCACCCAAAGTGACCAACAAGCCCAGTTACAGGCTGCTCAAGTGGTGTCTGCTCTCCAAGGAAACAATCTCTTTGTGGCACCCAGAATTAGCTTTACGTGGATACGCTCAACACTAAACTTGGGCCTCTGGATGCAAGGCATGTGTTCTGCCACTGTGCTATGATGCCCCCACTCCGAATGAACTCTTGAGAAAAGTTGGCCACTGACTAAGTCCACTTTTCTGTTCCCAGTAGAAAGCCCGTCTGATATCAAGGCACAAGGTTACTTACCTGAGAAAGTTCCCAGTAGAAAGCCCGTCTGACATCAAGGCACAAGGTTACTTACCTGAGAAAACCAGATCCCTAACAATGAAAAAAAAATCCAACACAGACATCTTTGATACTTGATTGCCTCTGGTCTCTTTAAAAGAGGAAGAGGCATCTTGTAGCACAAAGTTCCACCAGCCTCCCTACTGGCTAGAATGGAAGCCATCCGAAAAACAAAATAAACCAACAAACTCCAAACTAGGACAAACCACTCTCCATCTCAGGCATCCCCCTTTCCCATGTTCTTTTTCAAGGTGAACAAAGTCATAAAAGCTTTGCTCTAGTTGCCGCAAGGATTGGGACTGCCGTCACATGGACATCACTCTTTGGCCTGCTATTCGAACGCTCACATTGTGGGACTCTTTGAACAAGCAGCCTGTGGGATATTTAAAAGAGACGGCACGGGGGCTGTGAGCGATGTGGTTAAAAACCTGACAGGAAGTGCTGGCCGTGCTAGCAAAAGCTCAACAGATGGCCTTCATGTTAGGCTGTTGCTGCAAACTGTGAGACGATGGTACAGCTCATGCTGGTGGAGATCTAAACCTTTTGCCCTGATTCCCCTCCCCAGCCCCATCAATGGTGAATAAAGGTGAGAGGAAAGCTGGGTGCTGGAGTACAGTCGTGCCCCGCTTAACGATTACCCCGCATTACGATGAATCCGCTTTACAATGATGTAAAATGATGGTCTAAATGGGGGAATTTTGCTTAGCGATGCTTGGTTCCCTGCTTTGGGAACCGATTTTCGCTTTACGACGCTCAAAAACAGCTGATCGTCCAGTTTTCAAATGGTCACTGGGTGCTTAAAATGGCTCCCCGCTGTGCTTAGGGATGGATTCCTCGCTATACAGGCACTGCCGTATGGAGGATCTTCGCTGGATGGGGCGTTTTTAGTTCATTGGAACGCATTGAATGGTTTTCAATGCATTTCAATGGGCTTTTTAATTTCGCTTTATGACGTTTTCGCTTAACAGCAATTTTCCTGGACCGGATTATCGTCGTTAAGCGAGGCACCACTGTACTGTTCCATCTCATGAGGGAAAGAGGGCCTTTCTGTTACCAGCAACAATCGTGTGCTGACTGGCAGCCTAGGCCTTGATGCATTCTCGGCACATGCAATGTTAAAAGCAAATGTGACCATTTGAATTGGCACAGTGATGCTCTCCATCAGCATAAGGAGCGGCCAAGAGGGGAAGAGGTCACTGTCTTGAGGGAAGCAGTGAGCCACTTATTAATGATGAGTTTACATTTCACTGAATGGTATTTTGCATATGTGTTTCTGCATTCATAAATGTGCACAACATAAATTTTCCTAGGAAGGTCACCAACCGTCTGTCTCAGTGGATCACAAGGGCCTTGATACATTCAGTTCATACCTACATATTGTTGTTTGCTGTTGTTTCCATTTATATACTGCCCCGTAGTGCTACAGCACTCTCTCAGCAGTTTGCAACATAATTATAATTTACCACAACTTGCCCCCCAGCAAGCTGGGTACTCAATTTACCAACCTCAGAAGGAAGGAAGGCTGAGTCAACCTCAAGCCAGTTACCTGAACCTGTATTATCCGGAATGTAAAATGTCACAGGTTAAGATGCGCAAGACTAGCAGTAGCTGCAGGCACTGAATGATATGAGGAAGGAAAACCTGAGCTAGTTCTTCAGCCCTATGTAACAAGGAAAGGTCAGACATATACATTTCCCTTTTTATACTGGGTCTGAGGTGAAAATAAGCCACAACAGAACACATTCATGGCATGTTCTGAATATTGGTTCCTTGATAAATATACCCGTTGTGTATTCTCGAAGCCTTTCATGGCCGGCATCTGATGGTTGTTGTAGGTTTTTCGGGCTGTTTGGCCGCGTTCTGAAGGTTTCGCCAGTCTCCGTGGCCGTCATCAGAGGACAGGAGTCTTGTCTGTGCTCCGGCCAAACAGCCAGAAAAACCTACAACAAACACCTACAATTATGAAGTGCAAAATGTCTCTCACATTTAACATCTCTTTTTAGTTCAATTTTTTCTTGATGGTGGTCCCCTTCACAGAATAACATCATTTTCCTTAAGCTCGTCCAAAGCTTTGGAAACAGGGGAGAGGAAGGAATGGAAACATGGTATGGGAAACTTGGAAGATTTTCTTGAAAACACACCATGTTTTCCAGCAGGCCATGCTTCCAAGAAAACAAGTTCAGTCAAGCAGCCGCTACTCAAGAGTCCTACAACTTCTCATTACAGCATGCACATGAAACAGACGGGATCAGCAACTTAAAGTACTTGCCTTTGCCATGATGGCAGCCAGTAAAAACAAATGGGGCATGAACAATGGATTATTCATGTTAAGGTGCTTGTTAATACTGGATGCCAAGGGAAACGTGAATCTTGCAGTATTAATCTGCATATTAGGTGCTTCAGATCTGGCACTGACTGAAATGAACAAAATGCTGAGTGGGCTGTGCATGTTCTGTACTTGCAAAAGAAAATGAAAGAGTAGGCGTGGGCACTGGTTTGATTGAGAAGACACCATTAAAACTCAACATTAAGAATGCTAGTTAAAAGTGCAGTTACATGAATCAAGGGCTAACAAAAGCACAGCCCTCAGAAGCTATTAGGCTGTAACTCTCACCAGCCTTAGCCACCCAAAGCTGGGTAAAGATGTTGGGAACTGCAATCCAACTTCTATTAGTCCACCCTTTTCCTCACCCCTGCTGTAAACAAATAAATCTACTGAGGCTACTACACATTTGCTTTTAAAAAACCCCAACAGACAGAGGGTAAGGAAACCAATCATGTGCTGTGCACATTTGGCAGAAGGCGTGGATTTTATTTGAATGACTTCTGCAGCTGTGTGGGGATGGAAAATCTCAGGGAAGCTCTGAAGCTAGCCAAACTGCAGAGAAAAAAAGAGCATGGGAACTGTTCGCCTTAAATCAGAATGCAGCACCGTGATTTCTTTGATTCAGACTTTTGGCTATGGTCAGGATCTTTTTTTACTGATGCATGTGTTACCAGTGGCTCCTCTTTTACTTGTTCCTTATGTTTTACCCTTTCCTTCTTTTTTACTGCTTGCTCATCCACCCCTTTGTGCACACCTGATGAATAAACGGGACTCTCCCAGTTGGTCATAACCAAGTCATCATCCTCATCGCTATTACAATGAAAGACATGCTTGGCGTAAGCAGCCGGCTTCATGGACTTTGGAGAACGGACACTAGCTGGCTGGAAAGGCAAGGCGTTCTGTCCTCTGCGTCTGCGTTCCTCGGCCAAAGCTTCATCATCAGCTACACCTGAAGGGGGGAGAAAGCAGAGCATTCAAGAAGGAAGTGAACTAGCTACTCAAGATGGCTTTGGGTTCAATGGGAAAGACAAAAAGGCCATACACAATGAACTCTATCTTTGCTTTTGTTTCAAGCAAGTCACTTAAGCTCTTTAAATGTCAGTTTCTCCATGTGCAACAGGGCAGTATTTCTTCATCACAGTGGCATATCCCTACTTGCTTCATTTAACACAGACTATGACTGGGTAGCTGCATTGTTACATCTTCTAATAATTCATTCTTACAATACAAGACCAACTATGCTTGCAAATGAAGACTCGTGACGGAAAACAGGCAACGCAAGGCTTCTGCAAGCAACAACCAATTTCATTTTGAAGGAAATTATACAGGAGGGTGCTCTATGCTTCAGTTTCGTTTGTCCCTCGGCAAGCTCGGAAATACACCAGGATCAGTCATACACCACAGAACATGCTTTTTGGAATGGTTCACGGCCCAACCACAACAGTCAACATTGCAGGCGGAAATATAAATCTACCAGAAGGAAGGAGCAGAAAAATCAACCAGAAAACAAGACGTCCCAGGTAAATTCAGCTATGCCAGGACCTAAAAACATTTTGATCAAGAGACGTACATTCCTGAGTGTTCACAAGCAGTATGAACAAAAGGATCATTTCACTGCTGCACTAACTGAGGGTTCCTAAAGAACAAGACCTGTTTAAAGACAACACTGTCCTGAGGCAAGGGAAGTCTGGTAATAGTAAAGGGCAGATTTTTCAGCAAAAGGAGACTGGAGAGTGTTGAGAACGGAAGATTAATAGGAATATCATGTGAAGGGAAAAACAAATTTGAGCAAGAAGAGGGATGAATCATATTCATCACTGCTCAGGATTTGTTAGGAGGCATGATCTACCATTATAAACTACCATTATAAACTCCAGGCAGTATATCGAACCTTTATACATATACTGTATCTACAGGCAACACAAGACAAGTGAAGGAAGCAGATGACACACTCTTCAGGCTTTCTAAATGTTTGCCTATTCTCTGACATCCGTGATGAACTGAGATGGCATGTTGCAACTTAATAAATTCATAGCAGCTTTATCCTCTCAAGTCACAGACTGGTAACATGGCGCACCATCTCCCTCCACCTGAAATTTTCAGATCAACATACATGCCTCACTGCCATTGACCCTCCAACATTATTACCTCCAGATATGGAATATATGGTGGAAGAGAGCAGTCCTCTAAAGGAGGTTATTCCAACGCCGTGGCTGTGACCAAAATTCTAGGCGAATAAGTTTTGAGGTGCATTTCTGTCATACAACCAGCCAGAATGGCCAAACAATGTAAGGTTAATTGTTATTGTTAGTACAGGCATGACACAACTGAGTTTTCTGTCAGAGATTGGCACTGTATAGATTCAAGGTTCCTACTGTGAAAGGGTACAAAAACCAAAACGATTAATATGGGTTGATTAGGCATCCTTCAGTCTTGAGACTATGGTATCGTGCTCTGCATGGAGGACTTGGAACAGTGTCTAGTGTAGCTGAGAAGGCCAATTCGAGAGCGACAATCCCTTCCACACTGAAGACAAATACAATCTGCCCCCTTGTCCAGCTCCCTGGTTTGGCTGGTTTCGGGGCTGTCTCTTTGCCTTGGCCTGCTGGACAATGGCCTCTTCAAAATACAGTGGTGCCCTACATGACAATGACCTAGCAGAACGACGAAATCGCATGATGACTTTTTTGCGATCGCTATAGCGATCACAAAACGATGTTTCCTATGGGGGATTTTCGTTTGACGACGATTAGGTCCTTGCTTCGAGAACTGTTTGCTCACAAAACAATGATTTTTCCGGCTCCGCAAAATGACTGCCCTGTGTTTTCCAGACCCATGCTTTGCAGGGCAGCCATTTAAACAGCTGATCGGCACTCGGAAAATGGCTTCCCCTATGGGCGATCTTCGCTGGACGATGAGGTAATTTACCCATTGGAATGCATTAAATGGGTTTCAATGCATTCCAACGGGGAATTGTTCTTCGCTGGACGATGTTTTCGCTTAACAGCTAACAGCGATTTCAGAGGAATGGATTATCTTCATGGTGCGGGGCACCACTGCAATATGGGTAACCTTTCACAAAATAGCTGGATCCATCACCACATGGTTCAGCTTCCTCTGGTAACATCAGTCAAGCTACCCACAGCATAAGGGAAAAGACCAAGATAGCTAATGTATGAATCCCAGGTATGAAGCAAGGAATGGATCTGGAAAATCAATTTCGACCAAGACTGCCTACAGGCAATCAATCACCATTTAATTGAGCACTTTGTCCAGGAAAAAAGTAATGCTCTAATTTTTTTGTCTTGTGGGTACTTGCTCTTTTTTTAGCTAGTAGCCCAACTATTACTCCTCACTTTTGCATCTTCCCCGAAACAACAAATCCCAGCCTCTAGTCAGATATCCCTTTTCTATTAGGTGCAATGGACCAGAACCAATAAGGAGCAATTTTAGATTCAGGCTTAATGCACATATATTTGTTTATGCAATTGATCTAACTGACTTTATTAGCCAACATCTTTCCATTTTCATAAAAGCTGCTGGAAGCAGATCTACAAGACAGAATCAAAGTAACTCAAATGTTACCACTTTTAGGAATAAAATCATCTTGGGACAAGCCATGTATTAATCATAAGAGCTGCTTTCACCCAAAGGGCAAATCTTGAGCACATGGATGTTGAAGCAAAATATAAAATAAAAATGAACAAGCCAAAGGGTGCGCAATAGAAACACTAAAAGAAAATGGAAGAGTTACTGGAACTTCTTATACATCGTTTAGCTCACTTGATTATGTTTAATAAGCATTCATTACACATAGTGTCATTCAAGGTGGTGCTACAGTCTGTGCATATTTTCCCTACTGATTCATGTGCCAGCTGGTCAGCACGGCAAGAAGACTGGATGCAGCTAATGATTGTAACAAAGAGCACAATGGAGTCATGTTAGCAAGAAGACTGGATGCAGCTAATGATTATGGCATTGTTGTAACAAAGAGCACAATGGAGTCATGTTAAGAAACAAGAGCCAGTTCAGGGGGAAGGCAAGTTCTTTAGAGTTCCTGTCTGAACAAATCTAGGACACCTCGAACCACAGCGCTATGCAGGCATATTGGGACAGCAGTGTTTTTGTTGTTGTTTAGTCGTTAAGTCATGTCCGACTCTTTGTGACCCCATGGACACCAGGGCCTCCTGTCTTCCACTGCCGCCCGGATGGGACAGCAGTACCCAAACTCCATTAATAAGGCCCTTCATTCAATAAGGTTGGAATATGATAAACTGGTACAGTTCCTCTTGCTAGCCTGAAATGAGAGTTCATTTCTGAGTACTGTAACTTAATGTACAAGACTATTTTTCCATCTTATTTCCACCTGACAAGAAATAAGCAATTTGCCAAACAAGGCTGACCTGAGAGGATGATGATTGTGAGGCAAGTACAGTGGTGCCTCACATAGCGTTCGCTCTGTATAGCGATGAAATCGCTTTGCGATGGACTTTTTGCCATCGCAAGAGCAATCACTTTGCGATGGTCCCTATGGGGAAAATTTGCTTTGCGATGATCCCGGGGAAGCAATCATCACAAAGCCCCTATTTTCGCCCAGTTGATCGGCGGTTTCAAAATGGCCGCTGGAAAAACAAAATGGCCGCCCGCTGTTTTGCCTCGCTTTAGACGCACCACAAATGGCGGCCCCTATGGAGGATCTTTCCTTTAAGGTTAGTTTTTAGCCCATAGGAACACATTGAAGGGGCTTCAATGCATTTCTATGGGCTTTTTAAAATCACTTAGCGATGAAATCGCTTAACAGCGATTTATTGCTGCACGGATTAACATTGCTAAGCGAGGCGCCACTGTATCAGGAGAAATCATTCCACAGCACAGCACATGCAAACAATATTTGAACTGATTTAAATAAAGCTGTTTGCCTCTCATTCCAGAGTCCAGATCTCCTTTAAAAAGGAAAAGATTGTCCCACTAACTCTAGAACACTGATACAGCTCTCCCATACTGGTTTCCTAGGAGGAAACCAGTGGAAATAAACTTCTTTCAGAAACTACACTTAGTAAGCACTTCCAATTGTTCTGCAGTGTGCAGACTGGTATCTGGCAGTAATCTTGGGAGTAAATCTTCATCATGGTGGTTTCGATTTTTAGAATGCCACTCCCGATTTGGAAAGCACAAACTGTGGCAATTTTTAAGTGTAAGATCTTTCCGCAGGCGTTCCCCAGTATGAGAACTGGGTTCTGAGTATTTGCATTTAGGCCTTTGATAGTAATTGGCTGAAATCCATTTGCCTAGTGGTAGCAAGCTGCAACTAGAATTGGCGCATTTCATGCATGGAATTTACGGAGGGGCAGATTCCACCAAATATCCTGATTCTATAGGCCTATAATAGTTGCTATTTCCTGTGCTAAGCAACAGATTTCAGTTACTGGACCATTCATTTAGAACAAATGTTTCGCATTTTAACTATTATTTTGGTTCTCTGAAGTAACATCTTTTACTTTTTATGTACCATTCTGAAATACTGTTTAAGGCATGGTAAAGCAGCAACTTATACAGTGGTGCCCCACATGACGATGATAATCCGTCCCATTGAAATCGCTGTTTAGCGAAATCGTCACCATGTGAAATTCGTTTTCCCATTGGAATGCATTGAAACCCAGTTTAATGCGTTCCAATGGGGAAAATACCTCGCCGTCCAGCGAAGATTGCCCATAGGGAAGCCATTTTGCGAGCGCCGATCAGGTGTAAAAATGGCTGCCCTGCGAAGCATCGGTCTGGAAAACACAGGGCAGCCATTTTGCGAAGCCAACGAACAGCTGTAGAAATTGTCATCTTGCGAACAAATGGTTCGCAAAGCACGGACCTAATCAATGTCCAACGAAAATCCCCCATTAGAATGACTGTTTTGTGAATCGCTAGAGCGATCACAAAAAGTTATCGTTATGCGGA